GAAAATTCTGGGTAAGCCAATCACAACCAACTCCTTATAAACAAATAGAAATGACCCATAGAAATTATAATGAATTATTAACCCCCCAAATTGCTATTATTCTCAATAAATCTATGAATGCTATTAAAATGCCCTATGACAATGTCTGTGCATTATAAAAATCATAGTTATGCTTAGAATTCATTGTCAGTATCATCACCAGAAACACAGAAGTGAGGTCCATGCTGCGGGTTTGCTCTGTCAAGGATACTTTATATGAAAGCATGCTCAGAAGAGTCTCAAAGATGCTAACTAGATCAAACACCTTGAAAGGCCACCAGCATCCACTGTGCCTGCACTAATTCGTCCGCCTCATCCACCACCCCTGGCCTCTTGTCTCTACTTGGCACCGTGTCATCTCCCATCCCTTGAGCAGCCCTTCTCTTCCTCCTTTCTGCACCTCTTACAACTGCTGGTCCATCATCAGCCAACCCCTTCTTCTATCCCTCTCCCCTCAGGATACTCCCCCTTCTTTGCTCTACCTAGAACTGGGGTAGCCCTAACTGTTCTTGTTCCCTTAAAGTCCCCTTAAATGCGATGACCGTATCAGGTACATTCCACAAATCCTGGGGGCAGGTATGAATCTTCTTTGTGCTTCCCATCACTTTCAGACCATTCTTTCATGTCCCCTTTAAAAAATAGAGCCCTGATTGCTTGAAATACATGCACTCCATTGTATCACTAGCTACATGCGATGGCCACATTTATCTAATAGATCCTGAAGCTCATTCTTGATGTCTCCACTACCTGCTGGGGTAGTCCATCCTGGCTCAGGGGTGTGACTTTCTATCTCCAGGGAACTTGTTCCTTTCTCCTCCTCAGCTGACTGAATCATCCACACTATTCTCAGTCCTCAATACCAACAAAATTGTTGACCTCAAATTCCTGTTCTTTCATCATCTCCACCAGCAGCATGGTTTGCTTACTGTTTTTTTTTAAACTTTTTATTTATTTATTTATTTTTAAATTTTATTTATTTGTGTGTGTGTGGGGGTCAGCTCAGCCCACCAGGGGGAGGTGCGGGCTGGCATGTGGTGCTGGGGGATTGAACTGCGGTCCTTGTGCTTTTAGTTTGTTCTAAGTAGGTGCTTTAGACCACTGAGCCATCTCACCAGCCCCTGCTTACTGTTTTTATCTCCCTCCTAGTGTTGACTGTCTGGGCAGTCACCATAAATATCTCTTGCACAAACCTCAATCCCCATATGTCCCTTTCTGTCTTTCTACCAGATTTAACATGACAAGGTAACCCTGGTTATCTCTCCACCTACTAGGCACCTGTCCCAAAGCCACAGAAAGATACTGACGCTTAGCCAGTCCCTCCTCAAATTTGTGTCTGCTAACCTCAAGCAGTCAGCACCTGCAGGGGACCCCGCAGATTTCCTAATTAATCCACTCATCCTCTTACCTGAGATGTCTAACATCTTCCTCTCCCTCAACCTTCCACATTGCTTCTTTCACTTCAGGCCAGATAATGACTTCCCTTAATATGTCTCTGGGACAGAGACATGATTTTACTCCTTCTCACATACCGCACATGACAACCCATGTTTTTCTTACGTGTGCGGCTCCTTTCTCTTCACTAGTGCATTCTCATCATCGCACAGGCTGAGATGTCCCCCATACTTTATTTAAAGCCCCTCTTGACCCTCAGCCCTTGAAGACAACCACCCCATTTTTCAATCTCATTTTATTACACAACATCTCAAAAGGAGTTTTCCGGTTTGTATTACTTGTACTAGTAACCATTCTCTTTGAGGTCAGAAGAGTCATCTTTGGGTTTCCATCTCTCCCTTTGACTGCCAGCAGGTACTGCTGCTGCTTCTACCAAGATGGTGTCCACCCCTCCTTCCTTGCCCTTTCTCATGGCGCTGTGCGTGAGTAGCCAGAACAGCTCTGCTCCATAGATCACGCTACCTCCCTTTGCTAATCTACCCTGTACCTGCTCCTCTACCCCAGTCGGCCTAACACTGATCTCACCATTTCTGCTCCTCTCTCCTCATAAACCTGTAATGATTTCTTATAGTACCTATCACCAGGGTACAGATCTTTGCATGGGGGGGTAACACATTTCATAATCCAGTTCCACAGAGTCTCCCCCTCTGTATTTCCTGCTATCAACATTGAACACTGCTATTTTACACCAGGTCTGCAAATTCTTTTTTTTTTTTTTTTGGAACTGGGGATTGAACTCAGACCCTTGTGCTTGCCAAGGAAGCACTTATTCCACTGAGCCATTTCCCTGGCCCCAGGTCTGCAAATTCTTGTTTCTACATTTTATTTTTTTGTCCACCTTGTTCCTGAAAGCCATCATTATTGATGAAAGCCCAAATTGCTCAGACACCACCCTCCAAAGTATCATATCATACAATTACAGGTCATGTTTTGTTGATCTTAAATGTCTGAGGTATTCCAATTTTAAGACTGCTGTGACTATCGGCAACTTAATAATCCCTAAACATATAGTCACTAATTCTTTCATATATAGTGCATATTTCTTAATTTTATGAAAAAGCAAAACAAATTTTCTTAACCAAATAATGGAGTAACAAAGTAATTATACTGTACTGTTATCTCAAAGTACTCAGTACAAGACATGAAACTTTATTTTCAATGAAATAAGATAAACTGTTAGTAGAAATTAAACAACTTAGTATATATATATTGAAATACTTTTAAAACAATGAAATATACACTTTTGCTTAATTTGAATAACAAAGCATTTAACCAAGTCTACTTTTTCTTTATATAGGGGCCATCTGACAAAGTAAGTTTAATATTTTTTTTCTGTTTATTTATTTATTTGATTTTAAAAGAATACAAAATAGTAATAAAAACAGCATTAGAAATGATACAAAATTTCATTAAACGAAGTAATAGGAATTCAACAATAGTTGCTATATTGCATGAAATTATCTTCAAATTAGCTGTTTGGGTGGCCACAAGTTTAATATTTTTTAAAGTTAAAAAAAAATTATTCAGATATAGTAATTGTTCATGAGGGAATTATCTTAAAAATTCTAAGTGTTGAATTGCACAAATAGCTTTTTTAGAATCAACTTACAAATTATTAAAGGTAAGCCCTACATTTCAAAGATCAAAAATGCACACCTAATTACTGCCCTACGCATGAGGGCACAACTGCCTGCGACGGCGTCAGGCTTAGATCTTGTACAGCTCAAACACTTTAGATGGCCGAGAAAAAGGCGTGCTGGGGAGTGCAGTGGTAAACCCTGACAGTCCCAGCCACTGCGAGGCAATGTGAGCCGCTTCATGAAACGTAAGCATGGGAAAAGGCAATGAATCTACGCTGTCACATTACATCGCATAATGTTAACTTTATTTATTTATTTTTTGCAACTTTTTTAAAATTTATTTTTTTAATTAATTAATTTTTTTTAACTTTTTAAAGTTTCTAATACTAGAAGATATCATACAATGTCTTTTAAATAAATTGTAAGTCAAAGATACAGTATAAATCTTGCAGGAACAAAAATTAAGATTAAGCAATATTCAGAAAATTAAATGTTTCAAAACAATTGAACTAAGAAAAACTTTTCATGATAGCAAAGAAGTACTAAGAGTAAAATATAAGATAAATACTGGAATGTCAAGTAAATGACCAGCACAATGTTAACTTTAAATACGTATGAATAGCTAAATTAACTATTCACACAGACACGAGACCATGTCATCTGTACCTCTAAATGTTTATAAAGAACTCTAAACTTAACAAAGTTTTTTTTTTTTGCAAATGAGGACAAAGATGAGCAACGGCAAACCAGAGGGCAGAAATGTGTAAGGCCAGTGCTAGCGAGAGCAGAGCCAGGACCTGGGCCCAGGCCTTCCCCCTGCCAGCTGCAGTTGTGGGCCACCCCTGGCCCTGGGTACTCCACCTGGGATCATCCTAGTTAGAATCATTTCTTTAATATTTTTTTTCTAGATTATATGCATAATGTATGACTTATGACCCATATTAGTATAATTTTCTTGTTACTTTTTCTTTTTACTTTTATTAGTAGTTGTTCGCAGAACACAATGTGATTACATTCCCTGTAGGAATTGGTGTATATATACACAACACATTTCAATTCTTTCTTCCCTTCTCTCTATCCCCATTTCATTTATTTATTTTTTAATGTATTTAGTACAGGGGACACGGGGCATACAGGGTCTATAGGGTCTCACTGCACAGGTCAGACTCGTAGTGATCCTCCTGTTTTCAGCTTCCCAATCACTGGGATTACAGGTGCACACCAACATGTGCAGTCTCAATCACAGTCCCAGCATGCCTGGGGGCAGGGCCGGCATGCCACACGGAGGTTTGAACCCAGGCTGCTGCACTCTGCCTAAGCAGGCGCTTTAGTCTGCTGAGCTATATGGCCAGCCCTTCTGGCCCCCTTTTATTTTTCCAGCATCAGATTGATATTGATTTATAAGACTGTGTAGCATTAATTATCATACATACAAATTGAAAAGCAGACTAATAAGCCAAAGGACAATATCTGACTTCTCCCTAGCGACGTGAGGTCTCATGACACACCCATACCTTGATTCCTGCCCCTGGTCAAACCAACCCAAGCCTTCAAACCTCAATGCGCAACTCTGCCCTCTCTTCTAAAGAGCCCCTCTTCTGTGCCAGACAAGCTGCCTTTCTAATTAGCAGACTCTCCGCATGAGCACCATCCTGTCCTCAACTGAGTGGAAGGTACCTGACGACAACAGATGCTGATCCCAGGCACACCACTGGAGAAGCCACCCATGCTGCAGAGGTGACCAGGCCGGGCATCCAGGAAACATACACGGCCAGTAAATCAGTCCCTGGAACACCTTCTGCATATCCATCAGGATTCCAAAAGCTACCCGGCGCTGTAAGCTTGTCTTTTCAGGCTCAAATACTCTCAGCGCTCAGTCACACACCATTAAGTCTTAAAGATGGATGGCTAACAAAAATTAATGCTTACCTTCAATCCTCTTTAAAGCTGAAAGGCACATATCCTTCCTTGGAAACTCAAAGGGATTGTTGCAGGTTCGAATGGTGTCACACTCACATTTCCCATTAATTATATTGCAGCCAGAGATAAGGTTTTCATTGCATGGTTCGAAACCAAGCAGCTGGTCATCATCCCAGTTCTCATCTGAAAAACAATCGCCCAGATAATGTTTGCTTGCTGCTTCATACAAAGGCTATCTGACAGCAAAAGTACATGGGGATGTCACAATGAACATCCAACCCTGATACCTCAATTTGTGAATAGTGGCTTGGCTCGAAGGATACAAATGAATGCAAACCAGCCTCCTACCAACCAAAAGGCTGAAATATGGCCTCACGTGCAGACATTAAATTCCAATACACAAGCATTTGTAATTGTAATCACAAGCATCTAAATCTCTTGTGGGCCACCCACTGCAACAAGTGAGACTCTTTTAAAATTTTTCATTTTAAGCAAAAATTTCTGGATTTTCTACATTTAGTAGATTACTAGAGTTACATTTGTCATTTACTTTTTTTTTTTCTGGTATTGGGGATCTAACCCCAGGCCTTGCACATGTTAGATAAGTGCTTTACTTCAACATCAAAATTACTTTTTAAAGCTATTTTTTTTTCTTTATCACTAGAGACCAGTCTAAGATTTAAAAGAGCGCTTCCATTTAGCACATCATGGAAGCTAATAAGTAGCAAAAGACACCACCGTTAAGAGACAAGAATAGGATCCCATAGAGGAAATTCTCTCCAGAGCACCTGGGACCAATCCACAGAGTCTGAAGTTCTCCACAGCTAGCCCAGCTACGACCCCAACACTAAAGGCTACAAAGCCTGGTGAGAGGCTGCGGTCATCACGTTCTAAAGCCGAAACCAGGTGTGGGTCACGGATGACAGTAGTCACTGAAAAACTAGATTTTCAAACCAGTTTTCCTCAGACTCAGCTCAGAAAAATGTAACATGACAAAACCACAGGCAGGCTCGAACCTTAATAACACTGCTCACACTTCAAACATCTCTTAAAAGAAACTAGGCTTTTTCTATAGATCTCTAGAACATGACATGTTTCTTTTCCCTCTTAACATTATCTTTAAAAGGTATTTTATCACACTTGAACTATGTTTCTGATAACTGTATCTCGAGAGAATCTTTAAAATTGCTTGAATTTGAGAAACCCTAACCTGTTGCACACACTACAGCAGGAATAAAAACCACCTTCAAGAATGGGTTTGGGGCTAGGAACACAGAGCTCTTCAGCAGAGAGCCTGCCTGTAAGGGGGGGGACCTGGGTTTCACTGCCAGGACCACAAAGAAAAACAAGAGTGATTCTACTGGAAGACAGTGTGAAGAAACAGGTGTGACTGGGGACACACACACAACACTAACGTTACTTCTAGTATCTTCAGTGCAAAAGCCAGGCAAGACTTCTTCATGAAGTAATTTTTTTGACAAGGAGTCTTTAGGAGGACATCACTTATAGTGTAAGAAGCTTTAAGCTGGTTCTTTGAGAAGGGAAAAGAGAAAAGGCTCCTGTGATTTGATTTCAGGAGCTCAAACTTACTTATGCAACCGAAGCCTTCAGTCTCAGTACATTATCTTTTGGTTTTAAAGATTTAAACAAAATCACAAGTGATCAGTTTAAAAGTTTGTTTTCCAACTTAGCCTATACGTGGTCGTCAGGAATAACTTGTGCATAATATATTAAAGGCACATTCCAACCGTTATGCTAGCAGTAAAATTACTAAACTACTCTCAAAAACAGACCAAAAAGTATTCTACAATTCAACACACAATAGGTGGTGACATGTTCTCCATTATTAATGGTATATCTACATCATTTCTTATCTCTCATTCGATTGTCGACATGCTTTCAGCATCATCAATCTAATACATTTCAATGAAATTTGCTGTGAAGGACCTTTTGTGACTGCACATGCAAATTTAGAGTTCAAAGACAGTTCAACCCCAGGAATTTCAAAACTCACAAAAAATTCAAGAAGCAGTTGAACAACTGAAAAACTACTTAATAGTCTCTTTTCATTCATATTCCTGAGAGGAAAAGTAGTAACATTTTGTAAAGATGCACTCATCAAAGTAAGTTGACTCTACCAAACTTTTTTTTCCACATTAAATACTCTTTTGCTCTGCTATAATTGGAAGTTCCTCAAATTACCACCCTCATGAGTTATCACAAAGTATTCTAAACCTGTCCACCATTTTCTCTTCCCTCCTCATTCCCCACATTGTTACCAGAATTGTCTTCCCCCCAAACCACACCTGATCAGGGGTTTCTCTTTTTTCCAAGAAGCTAAGTTCAGACTTTTTATTACCGAATGCACAGTTCCTCACATGCCCTGTACCTATGTCCATAGACTCTTCTTCACCAATCCCTCTTCTATCTAAGGCTCTAAGCACACTGTCACAACTGCCCCCACAGTGTGCTCATGAAGCCCCACTTCCCCAGAACACTTCAGTCTGCTCTTCCCTAACTCGTATTAGTTCTCTTAAGACCCACTTCAGATGCTGCCTCTTTGAGCTGCTCCATCCTCCACACTCTGCAATCACCTGCTCAGTCCTCTTGCCTTTCCTTCCATGCCAGTTACTGTAGGTTTTTATCTTCTAAGACAAACTTGCCTGACAGACAAGGTCCTTGTAGGCAGGAGTCAGGTTTACCCAACTTGGGATGGCTTTAACCCGACTGTTCATACATGTCATATTCTCTCTCTCTCTCCCTCTCTCCCTCTCTTCCTCTCTCCCTCTCTCCCTCTCCTGTGAATTATATGGTCAATACAGTTGTCAGTTTCATTTTTAATCAAAACATGCCTTTTGTTTGTATATGTGTCTCACCACAAGGAAGAAAAAAAGAGCACGTTCGGGCCATTCAAACTTTACTTGTAAAGACTCATCACTAAAGCACTTCACGAGGCACATGTGAAGAATGCCTGGACACACCGGAGCATTTACCGTCAGCATCATCTGCTGTAGGTCTTTCCCAGTCGGCACCAAGACTGCAACCTTTTATCAGTGGGCTGACAACAACCGTCCTTCCGAGGACCCATGCCACAGCCAACTCATTTTCACTGCCAGGTGCTTTTCCCTGCCATCCAGCAGGATGACTACTTCCCTTGAACATGCAGTCAGAACCAAACGGTGACTGCCTTGATCATTTCCCTGGCAGCAGCAGGGACAACACCAGAAGATACATGGTGGGGTGTGACCACCCCCTTAGAGAGTGCAAAGGTCCTATGAACAGTCAGGAAACACCATGGGCTCTGCAGCTAACAGTATCTTACTTGCTTTTCTTAGTAATTTTTTGCCTCCTTCTAATTAATACATTGTTTTTCTTCTTCTCAAGTAATTCCCTTAGCAACACTGTGTTACAGGATCAAACACAACATGCTTCTAAAATAAATGCTTTTAGGGTTTTCTGTTATAAAACATTATACTTTAAAATAATTTAACAGAAAATCAACAGGGATTGATAGCAAAAATATATTAAATTTTGATTAAATCACAGACTTACTCAACACAGTAAATCTGAGCATTAACAGTGGTTGAGTATCTCTTATCTAAAATCCTTAGAGCTAAAAATGTTTCAGATTTCAGAGCTTTTTGGACTTTAGGATATTTGCACAGACTTTGCATTATGTCAGTGCTCAAACTTTTCTGCATTTTAGATCACCTCAGATTTCAGATTAGGGATGCTCACTCAACCTGTAGTGCTGCTGGAAAACTGTTTTTCTTTTTCCTTTTTTTTTTTTGTGTGTGGGTACTGGGAATCAAACTTGGTACCTTGTTCTTGCCAGGCAGACGCTGTACCACTGAGCTATATCCCCAGCCCTCTGTTTAAATGTAAAGCAAGGCTCACTGTTGTGATTCTCTGCCACAGTTCCTGCTTCTCCTTGGATTGGTGAGGGGAAAAAAGTACTCGAGACAGGAATACTGCCCTTTACTTATACCGAGTAGGTATTTTTCCTGGTACCCTAAAAGTGACAAGATGTAGCCTCCTAGAGCAAAAAGTCAGGAAAATAAGATACTTCCTCCAATATATTTTAAAATTTATAACCTCTTCAAGATAACAAATCAGGAGGTCAGGTAAGTTACTTTTTGTAAATATAAATGAGAGAAATCTAATAATTTCACATACAAATTCAGATTCATACTTGCCCAAGTCTGCGAGTACACAGTAGAGATTCAGGTGTAGCTCCTGGCAAAACTGCCATCTGCATGTAGGTGTTTAGAAGCCATCCAGAAAGATGGCACCATGAATCAGGAGTGCAGATCTCAGGCCCGGCGAGATAGCTCAGCAGACTAAGTGCCTGGTTAGGCAAGAACAATGACCAGGGTTCAATCCCCTGCACCAAATGCCATGCTGGCCCTGCCTGTGGGTGCACGGAGCCAGTCACCAACATCATGTGTGGTTCCCAAGCCTGTAATCCCAGTGCTGGAGAGGCTGAGAGAGAAGGATCACTATGAGTCCAAGCTACATAGGGAAACCCTGTATCAAATACAGAAACAGAAAAAGGAGTGCAGACCTCCCTCCTGTGCACTTCCCCTCAGCCCACAGCACAGGTGACATAACCAAAGGCCAAGACTTCCTAAGATCAGCCACTTGGATTGCTCTCAGTCGAGGGCATCCTTAAGGAAAACTGATTCATTTAGCATTGCAATTACTATGTTCTTAGCATAGTCCTTGGGGTGGAGACAGGACTCCTCAGCACAGTCTCCTGCTAAGCTCATTTTTCAAACAGTGGTGTTACCATTGTTTCTGCACCACCAGTTCCAACATGGCAGAGATAAGACAATTGAATACAACTTCGCCCATGTCTGCAGGCCACACATCCAGAGCTGCTGTTCTAAAGAACACAATTATGTCCTGCCAGGACCTCCACGTCACAGCAGAGGAAAACCAAAGCTGAAGGTCACTGCACACCTCTTGTCCTAACAGCACTGCTCCACAAAACCACGTTTCTTCAGTGTGACTGAGTCAATACTCTAAGTGCAATCGATCCTCAAACTTCCAGACATGATCAGACCTCGCATGACTGACATTTGCAGATATGAGGGAATCACGGAAGCAGATCACCTGTCTGCCGGACACTGCCACAGTCGTGCAGTTGTGGCTCTCTGTACAGTGCCACAGTGTGCAGTGCT